ATATCTGAAATTCAAACAGATGTTTTAATTAGTGTTTTACAATCATGCCACTTAGTGTTTTGCTTGCGTATTTGTCTTACGCTTTGTCTCTTGAGAGCTTGTGAGCAAGTTCAGTCAAGGTTTAGGATATTCTCTCAAGAAGGAAAAAAGGATTTTTGCTAAATTCCTACTATAGAGTACAAATAATTTTAATTTCTCATGGATTACAATTCTTTCAGAATAGACTTGTGCAACATACTTATGCTGCCCAATGCAGTCAATACAGAAAGCCCCAAGACGACAAAGACTCCATAAAGTAAGGCCATCTGTAGCTCTGAGCTCAGCAATGTTAGCTGATCTATCTCAATCAGTCCAGCCCAAGTGGGGTAGTAAATATGTCTACAGACTTGATGCTATTATCTGATTTTTTGTTTATTTGAAGTCTTCTTAGCTCCAAACACTTTCCCATCAGTTCTTAGCTGCAGTTTTCAGGTCTTTCAGAAAAAAAGGATAATATCTAAAAGGAGCTTGATTTAGGTGCTAGCTTTAGTGTAATTCCAGTTTCAGTGAAAAGTCACTAATACTGAATTTCCTCTGGAAATATACAAAAAGCTTAATCACTGCCATATAGTTGTCTTAAAAATTTAATTTAATATTGGAGTTTTCAGGGACACACCTTCACACTGCTGAGCTCAATTCTTGACAGCTGTTTAAGCTCACAAAACCTTTGCACAAAGAACAAAGTTGTGCCTTGTAGCACAGAGAACAGAGGCCTGTGCTTCTATACCAAGGACCCACTGCCCACATCTAGCTAAAGACTTTGGTCATGCATATACAGCAGTAGGATGTTATAAGGTAGCATGATGCATTTCAGCAAAGTTCTTCTCCATAGTCCCAAATTTTTGAGAATCACTGTTTGCTTTACTTACTTATTAAGAATATTACAAATGAAACAATTGCCAAACTGACAATCGAAGTAAGAATGAAGGCAATGAAGAAGTAGCACTGGTTTCTTGTTTTGCTCCCTGTTAGGTTCTCTCTAGTACCACCAGTGCTCTCAACGTCCTCATCTGTAAAGAGATGACAAGTCATTTGGTGATAAAGTTTGATCAGTTTCATTAGAATAAGCACGACATTAATTCTATGATCCTATGAAATGTGGCAACACGCCTTAATGATAATAGGTGAAGTCAAGTGAAGACCATGAGAAAATTATGCTTATTTCATGAGATTTCAGAGATTTCATGGTAGAAATCTCTGACAGTTTTGCAACTGAGCCTGTAGTGAAAAAGCTGAGGGAAGGATGCATGTGCCATAGTAGCGCTTCAACAATGAACAAACCTGGGGCTGAACAATTGGCTGAACTAGCAGGAGATCTTTGGGAATACCTCAGTTTTTCTTAATTGCATTTAACGTGCTCCTGCATCAGGTAAGATTACATTTTTTAATATGTGGGAGGCATTGTGTTTTTTCCCTTAGCATTCATAACAAATCATCATATACTATGCACCTGCACCAATATTGCTTTCTAATTAGAATAAAAAGGAAGGCGACGTCCTGCTACTACTCTCAAGAACAGTAAGCTATCAACAGAGTTCTCAGAAATATTCCATGCTTGCTTTGCATGATGAATGTTTCATACTGGCTGAGCTTGCCAGGCTAAGCGCTGCAAAGAATCACTGAACACAGACTCTTATCATGCTGCAAAGAGTGGGAAAATTTTTATCGTTTAAAACATAAAGAAATTTTTGCATGGCTGCTACCAAGGCAATCCAAATGTGTTTACATTTCGAATAGCTTTTAACATGCTAATGTGTTTGATTATGCCAGGTCATACTAAGCTATTGGATGAAAGGATTGCCGTGAGTACTGCAACACTCCTGAAACATCATTTTTTAACCTAACTGGGCATCTGCTATACTGCTAAACAGATTGCTCATGAGAATGTAGTATTTGCTAAACTGAAAAGTACGACACAGCTCTCATTGATTTTCTGGCAAGAAAACTAGAATTTCATGCTGCTGACTAAGGCAAATTCAATATCTTACCTAAATCTTTCCAACCTTTAAAAAATGTTAAAAAACAATAACTCTCTGTGTTAAAAAAGTTCTAGAAGAATACAAAGCACTTTACAAGTGGATGCATAAAATATGCATTAGGCTACCTTTATTTACTGTTGAGTAGCAAAAAGTTATTTAAATATGGAAAGGTATATTATATATATTAAGCTACTTAAATAGAAGGATTATTGACGTATGGCCCTTTGAATCCCAAACATTCTGTAGTTCCATACCTTTCCTTCAGTGAATTTTGCCATTACAGTAAATAAAAACTGATCTCTGCTCTCTGTTGACAGTGAAGGAACCCAAGAAAATGGCATGAAGATGTGTCAGGGGTGGTACAGACTGGATGCCAGGAAAAGATTCTTCACCAGAAGGTGGTGGGCACTGGAACTGAGCTTCCTGGAGTACAAGGAGTGTTTGAACAACACTGTCAGACATACAGTCTGAGTTTGGGGTGATGCAATGCGGACTCCGGAATTAGGCTTGATGACCCTTGTGCATTCCTTCCAACTGGGGACATTCTATGACTTTATGATTTGAAAAGCAATAGAAGTGGAAGAGCTCATATCACAAACTAAAGAGATTCCGTGAATCAAAATGCTTAAAAGCCTCTTAAGATGCTTCACACTTGAGTCCTTAGGAGGTATGTCTTAGAAGAATGAACAGAAATTCACCGGCATTTCTATTGCTACCAGTGAATTTTAGTGCTTGGGAAGAGTTACAGTGCCATCCATGGAAGAAGTATAGACTGCGCAGTACTAGAGAAATTACCCTGTCTGATGGACTCAGGTGGAAAAGAGGGACAAATTCAGGCTTCACGGTGAATCTTTAGTCAAATGTAGGGATTTCCTAGAACCTGACACCTGAAGCAGTAGCTAAACCATTCATATGGTTTAAACTATGCCTTTTTTTTTTTTTTCTTAAAATTTTCAATGCAGAGTTTGACATATTCATCTATTGGGCTGTTAACACCTGCACACTACGATGTCATTAGTGTTTTCAATTTGTTTTATAGCCTATTTGTGTGCAAAGAATGAACAAAAAACATTGCCATACGTACCCAGTGGACGCTGAAATTCATCTGGGCAAACATTTAGTTTGTTCAGGTTGTTTAAGGAATCAACTACGTAAAGCTTTCTTTCTTCATCAGTATTGGGGAGGTTAATTTCCAAAGAAGTTTTCTCCATTGTATCTAGAAGAAATTATAATTAAAAAGTTAAGCTATAAAGATGTAAATTGACTGGTAATAGTAGGTGTCCTGATGTGAGAAGCAGCTGTAACAACCCCTAACATTTAGAGATTTGAAGGACCAGCACACTTGAAGGCATGGCTAACCCAGTGTGTTATTGTACTTATTCTGACAAAGCTTCATTTCTACATCGTATCTGTGTACCTGTGAATGCACATTTATGTATACATGTACACATATATACATATAATTGCACGTATGTATGCATATATGTATGTGTGGAGAGAGAATATCTGTTTCTAGTATTACTAGTATTTATTTGGGCATTAGATATTCAATCATATAACTTCTTCTAGTTTGGTGGATACTTATTAAGATGAAGAGTGATACCTGACCACAGTGAAAGTCAAATCTTCACCAGCATCAACAGCAAGGATGTCACATAGATCCTGCACTTTCAGCACAGAACTGTTCAGTGATGAGACATGGTCACAAGGCAGGTATAGGTATAGGGGGTAAGAATAAGCAAGAATACAGGTGTGCCTATGCATGCACCTTGTAGTGTCACTGTGAAGTTATTATTTGTGAATAATGGGGGGAAAAAAGTTATGAATTAGTTGTGCTTCATATAAATGTTAATTATGGCTGAGTTAAAGTCTGATGCCAAACCTTTTCTTCAGACCATTACGCTTTGCCTTAAGAAAAACACTGATTGAGGCCTAACAAGAAAGTGTGTCAGTGCAGTCTGGGTGTGTGAAATGTTTCAGTGATTATACAAACAAATTCAACTGTGAAGAATAAGCATTACCTAAACAGGCTCCTGTATGTGTTGAAGCACACAGTTCTAGCCATCAAGAGATGCAGTCACTCTAACAAGGCAGCTTAGACCACACTGGTCACTGAAAACTCCCACTGCAATTACTGAAGAAAAGTATGTTTCTCCAGGAAATATTCCTCTTCTATTTAGATATCATTCTAGACCTTAGAGTTGCAGTCTAAAGATACCTTTCCTTGCCAATGAATGTAAAGCTGGAGCTTGCAGTAGTTATTTTAGCCCTAATGTTGAACAAATCTTACACACTGAATATTTTATCAAATCCCCAAGTTCAGTCTTGCCTGCCAAACACAACTTAGCACTTCATGAGATGTAAGCCTCATCCTGATGAAAGATGTTAAGCACCTGCAGGTGATTTCTGAATCTTAAACAAGTTGAATCGTCCCCTCGACATGCCACCCCCTCCATCCCTCTCCAATAAACAAAAAAACACTGTGACTGGATTCCTAACTCAGCACTTCACTGGAAAATCTAACTAAAATGTTTGAAGAATACAGGCATAAATGGCTATAGAAAACACCTTTCCCTTACAAGAGAAGATTGCCACAATTCCCTCAGATTTGAGCACATAGCTAAGCATTCCCTGAGTTTTAAGCACTGAAGAGTAAGTGCTTAAATCACTCCTGACAGTGGGAGTTCTAATAATGGAAACTGACAGGCCTACATGTATACTTTTACATTTATATTTAGTAGAGCAGAAGACAAGCTTGCAGCTTGTTTTTTTCTCCCTTCAGAATTGCTGAAAAACACAAAAATAAGGTAGCAGTGGTGAACTGTACCTAGCACCTGATTTCCCTTTGTGCAGCAGTAGCTTCAGGCAGAAGGTTGTATGCACTTCCATTGCCCTGGAACGTCACATGGTGTGAGATCACGCCTCGGCCAGCCCCACTGCCACCTGCACACTCACTGCCCTCTCCCCACAAGCACACTCATGGCCAGCTGCAGCCATACAGAGCCGTGCATTCCTACAACAGCATGCTCAAAGCCACCATCTCATGCACAAACGCTTCTGGTTATTTTTAGCAGTTATTTCTCTGGGATATTCTGATTAGTACCTCCCTGCAGCTTCAGGAAAGACTCCTTAACAGCTTGAGCTGTAATAAATGTGAGTACCTTTCATACATTGCTATCAGTGGAATTACACATTTCTAATTTCATTGTTATTTGAAACCGATTTCCTCACTGTGCATGTTACTGCGGTGAAGGAAAACCCTGTGTTTTATTTTCTGGTGATATTTCAAATAAATGTGAGAGGATACAGCAGTGCTACTGGCCAAAGGTATTGACGAGTCTTCCAACAAACTAAAACATTGGATTGGTTACACTTTGCCAGTCTTTCTCGCACTTTAACCTTCTTTAAAGAACTTTTCCTCATTTGATTTCTAAATTTCTCCCTAGATTGTTGTAATAAAATTAGAACTTAATGTGAAGACACTGAAAGTTCTCAAAGGAGAAAAAGAAAAAAAAAAAAAAAAAAGAAAAGAGAAACAACAAAAACTAGCTTAGAAGGAATTAAAATAACAAGAAAATGAAATGTTACTTACAACATAGCCACGTTCAGGTAAAAGGCCAGTGTGGAGGAACTCAGCCTGTGCCAGAGCCCCAGAGCAGAACTTGTACTGCTGTTTCTCTCCACTTTTAGCCCCATAGGAGCCTGTCAGCCCCAGCAGGACCCATGAAGGCAGTCATGAAACAGACTGTCTCTATGGATCTATATTTAGCGTTAATCTCAGCCAAGCACACTGACTTCACCATACTGAACTGTTTAAAAGGAAACCAGCATATGCACAGCTCTTTAATATATTGGAATCATTAAATATCCTATAATGGAAACATACTGCGTTATTGAAGATCAATATTTCACTAAACCTTTGCTTTATGATTCCTTTTTAAAACTAGTTTGCTACGAAAAAACGTCATAGCGATATTACTGCAGTTATGAGTAACGAGTTTGCTATGCAGAAGTCATTTCTACATGACCGCAGTTATATGTACTTTAAAGGCATCAACTGGAAAAGTTACTTTCCTCCTCCAACACCTTACAAATTCAAATATATTACCACCTGGACCGATCTGTACAGCATCCAGAAAAAACACTCCAAGCTGATTGTGAGTACTGATAGTTCATGGAAAGACTTTTCAATTGCTGTTTTTTTCTGTTGCTAACATTGCAGAACATAATGTCACAGCACACCATTGACAGGCAGCTGATGCTAACAGGGAGCATGGGTCAAAACAACAAATCTTTTCCCAAGCAATTCTCTACTTCCACATTAATGTACGTTAAACTGACCATGAATACATTTTTCTTTCAGGAAAGAGCACAAGGTGATGCACCTACTGACTCAATTTGCCTCTATATTGTGACAATCTCTGAAGCTGCACTATCAGTAGCTGTGCCAGTAATGCAGCTTGCTCCCTTCTTGTTTGGTCCCCTAAAAACCCTCCATTCAAACAAGGACATGCATGCAATCAATCAATCAATCAATCAAGATTATCCCACTTCCATCCATGAAAGATTCCTAACACCATCCTAACTGCAAGACAAAGACTTAACGCTCTCCTGTTCTAAGCTTGGAAAAGTCTAAAATATCACCAGATCTCGAGCAGGCAGCAAAACAGCCCATCTCCTCCCCTCTTAACAGCCTTGGACGCCATCCCAGTCTCTGCAGCTGGCACCTACAGCATTCTGGGGGAAAGGGGAACCACGTGCCCGACCATCTGCACAGAGGCGCTGGATGCTTCGCAAACCTCCGGAAGCACAGGAAGGTCTCACAAGCGCTACTCTGTGCTGGTGCAGTTCAGCAAAGGCGACCACCCACAGCCAGAGACCAGCAGGCTTGTGGGAACAACCGATTCAAGGGGAGAACCACAAGCCTTAGGCCAAGTGCAGTCAGTTTGAAGTAGTTCAGAGATCAGGCTGAAACAAGCACATGCATTTGCAGATTGTCTGATGGCAGCAGCTCTGGTTGATCTTGGTCTTCACATAAACTCCCTCACTGTCCCCACACAAGTCTATTAACAGCACATTTCAGTCCTCTAGAGAGGGAAACTGGATTTAAGATTTAGTTTTCGATATGGAACAGGGATTTAGAATGACTCTGGTCAGGCAAGAGATATTTTGTAGCACCAAAACTAGAAAAACCTTTAGTCTGCAGATTGTTGCCCATTACTAAACTGCTAAGAAACCAACGACCTGCTGCTATGCAGATCACATACAAGATACAGCTCCCAAACAAAGCAGTCATTTCAGGTAACACAGTTAAGACCACCTCAGCCACACTTTGCAACAGGCAAGCAACAGTAGTTGTGTGTAAAATAAAGCCCTCTCTTTCACCATTTAGGTTGTACTAGCACTGTAACTTTCAATCAGAGTAGTAACCAAATTAAGACAAAGAATACAGTGAGAAACATCTTTATTCCAAAAATTAAACACCTGATTTCAAAACATATGAATCTTTATTTTACATGGAGGTAAGTATCTTATTTACCACTTCCTTGTGAGTGAAGGTAATTCAGCTCCACAGCTCCCTTCACAACATAAGTTCATACTACAGAGGAATTTATTTGTTCATCTGCCATTTTCAGTTTTAAAAGGTACTAAAACTCATTTCACATGAACAAGTTCATCTTTCCATATTAACATAATCTTACCCAAACACCTGGTCAATGAATCACTTAATTTACCTTACTATAAAGTAAGTAATCAAATCTGACACATGGCAGTTGATTACATGTATGCACCCCATTTAACTGCTGAGTTACAATATGTTCAGGTTTGGATTAAGTTGCCCCTAATCCAAGTGTTACAATGTACCCCACACCCAGTCTTACATCTATGTACAGTGTATATGCAACTGAGCAACATGCATTCTATTTACAGATTTTGTACAGTATCCCTGTGCACAAGTGCAAGCTGTGACTATTGAAATTAAAAAAAGTCATTCAAAGGTTACAAATTTATTTTAATTATCAAGGACTTAAAATTAAGCTCCACAGAGATCTAAAAAAATTCCCCCACATCTGCTCTTTTGTCACGGCATTTACTTCTTGCTTTTGTCCGAGCCTTGAATGCTGCTGAGTTATATAAGTGCTACAAAATAAAAAGAGGAATTAAGTTAATCACACAGTTGTTCAAAAGGTCGACGTCCCTCAGAGATTCATTTTAATATGCAAACATTTAAAGGGAACTGTGTAAGACATGTACATGTTCATGTTTGCACAGCCACCGTAACAAAGGCACCCATCCCCCAGTATCTCTTTGTCACTAGGGAGTTCAAGAAACTGTTTCTATAAAGACTCAGTTTATACTATTTCCTGAATATCCCCACCCAAAAACCTAAAAATCAGACACCAAATCAGCAAACTAATCAGTCCTCAGATCCACACTTGGGAGTACAGCAGAAGGAGCCAGTGTAAAAGCTAAAGAGCTCAGAGACACCTACAAGCAAGACTTAGTTTCATTTGGGACAATATGGGGCTTGGTTTCAAGGTACAAGCTTAAAGTTTACATCTCCTAAAGCCTATGACTTGAACACTACTTAATTCAGGAGAACTAGGATGATACATAAATACATGAAGGTGCAATAACCTACCCTTTCAAATCGGGATATCTTCATTGTCTTAAGAGTTGCAGCATCTAGCATGACTGGTGGACCAAGCTCAAACACATTCCGGAGAAAGTCATTTGACTAAAGAAAAAAAAAAAATCACATAGCAAGTTTCCCTTCCAGTGAAGGTGAAAAAGGGCTGTTAAGAAATACCCGTATCCCAGTAAGAAACCTCTTGCAATTAAGACAGGGAACACTTCTTCCTTCTATCAGAACGAGGTCAAGAACTAAAACTGCCCTCCTGGGAAAAAGCACCACCACCCCCACTGATTTTCATATGTCCCAGCAAGTAAGACACTGCTCTGCTACATCCTTTGCACAAGTTTAAGTACCTGGACACAGATCTGTATGTTTCACAACACACTAATTTGTTGTATCTGCTTGTAGAAGCTACATTTGAAAAATTTAGGATATATGTTACGTGCCCACACTTCACTTAGTTATAAATGGACACTGCTCTGTAGCAGCCATCTGACTACACTGTTCTACTGAAAATTCGGGAGAATATTAAAATACATCTTGATACAAGATACAGGCAGGCAAGCTGGGCTTTTACTTTTGCCAAATTGAAATGAACAGCAAAGTGTTTCAAAACAGTGTTTTTTTATTACTTTTTATAACTCCTGCCTTATAAAACTGGTAACATGAAAAACAAATTTAACTAGTTCCACCCATAATTTTGATTCTCTGTTCCAATTACCAGACAGGGAAGAGACAATCCCCAGACAGCAGCAGTTGGAGCATGTGACAGCAGCTCACCTGCAGATGATATTGCATCCCTGAGCCCAGAATCTCCTTGAAGGTATCGTAAGTCTGTTTTTTAACCCAGCAGTCAATATACATGCGCTCAGGTCCAAATTTCACTGTCTCTGTAGGAAAGTCTCGCTCCTGTCCAAAATGAAAGGAAAAATCACTTACAATTTCAATTTAAATATTCTCCAGTACTTTATTTTCATTAGGCTCATTCTGCACATCAAAATTTCACAAATAATCTAACATGCATACTATGTAAGTCTTATCAATTCATAAGAAAACATGTACCTAAAGTTAAATCTCATCTAGAGATTTGAAGGTAATGTTTCTCCAGTCAGAAAGCTTTTGAAGAATATGCAACTTTCATCTTGAAACTGACTTAAAGAATTGGGCTCATCTCCAGAAAAAATAGTTCTGAGCATGAATCACCTTTCACTCTGTGTCAAATTTATATCCCACCTTGAAGAAAGCTACACTGGTGACAGTGGGATGTAAGAGGTGCCAGTAAATGGCTCAGATTGCTCTGCAGGTAGTCTCAAAGGTCAATTCAAACAACTTCAAAGCCTTCTCCTTGGCTTCTGCAATGCACAAGAATTAGGACAACAACCCCCACCTACCAATACACAACCTTTTCTTTGGCTCTCGACAGAGAAACATGCCTCACTCCTACACTCCTTTTTGTTCATTATGCAAGTATCAATTCATTACAAGATTCTACATTATTTTACAATAACCTGAATGTACTGCAAAGTTTCGTATTAAAATAAAAACTGTGATGTAAAATAAAAGGAATTTAGTATTTATAATACAATGCTTAGCCTCTTAACCAGAAAAAGCCCGCTTCAAAATGAAAGCCAAGTTAAGAAAGTAAAATTTGACTTTGATACATTCTTAAAAGCAGTTCTGTTTAACATAAACTAGCAGAATAATCTGAAATAATGTTCAAAATCTCTGCCCCTTTCACAGAAATTCCAGTTCATCACAGGAGCATTTTGATTCAATTGCACACTACAGTTACAGTCAATGCACTCAAGTAAGACAGAAGAATTACCTCAACAGCTCGCAGGACATCTCTGAACACAGATCGCTGCTTTCTTTTATCTACTTTGGCTCTGTGCTTATTTCCATCAGTAGCTAAAGCTCGCAGTTTCTCTGTTAGAAGTTCCATATCTTCATAAAAGAAATCCTGTTTCACACACACACACACACACACACACACACACACAAAGCAAAAACAAACAAAAAATTAAGAAAACATGTTCATGTTTGGCCTCAGTATCTATTCCTCCAAGAGACTGATCTTCCCACATTCTGGACATGGAGACCTCTACAGACTGATACTTTATTATTTAAAGAGGCACAGATGTCACTGAAGATCTTCAAGCCATTAAGAATGGAGTCACCAGTTTATCCGATTGGAAGCTATCAACTCTGTGCTGGTTTTAGAGCCCCGTGAAACAGTTCAGCTCCTTCACTGTGCATATAAACATATACCTGTCAAGCTGTCCTGCTGAATAATTCCAAGTGCCTCAAACTGCCTAACTGATCTGCTGCTGAACCTGGCTGGGAGTCCTGCTGATAAGCTGAGGGCACTTTCAGGTCATTAGCACAGAATTCATGCCTCTGGAGATGGATCATGAGACGCTACAGGACTGACATTAAGGAAAATGTAGTCATAAGTCTTGTATGCACTAGAAAATGTGAAAATTGTTAGAAATTTTTTAAAATGCATCACTCCTCAGCATGAGGTATTTTCTCCCCTCTATTAACTAGCTCAGTGCAGTTGAGCTGGATGAATAAGCCACTTATGTAAAAAACAAGCATCTCATCCAAACATGTCAGCTGACTGGACTGAATCTACTGCTCAGTTTTTGAAGTAAACTGATCAATGGTAAAATATTTTATTTGCAGACTGCTTAACCAAGTAAAGGATCAAGTTCTGGTTTCACATTCTTTCCACAGCTGAGACTCAATTCCCTACTGTTTGAAATTATACAGAAGCATCAGCATATCCTTTCAAGTTTTGTAGTGCTAAGTGTATTGTATATCCTTGCTTAATGTTCCTCCTTAATTTGCAAACTGACCACAACAGACAGAGGTGCTGTGTGTAATAAAATACTAGCTATTCCTCTCAAGGATACCAAGAAACAATACTAGAAATAAACACTGGTTGTACAAAAGGATGAATTTTCAGCTGAGAACAGAATGGTGCAGGTTAGGAGTCATTAGAACTCATTTCCAAACAGTAAGCATCTAATGAACATTCCCACTATAGCAAATTGTGTTTTACATTGGGGGAAAAAAAAAAAAAAAGAAAAAAAAGAAAAAAAGATATTCCAGGGACATTTTCTCCTCTTTAAAAAGCTGGTATTCAATTTAGGTGCTAAAGCTTACATACTGCATTTCTAGTTACACTTATTCGGCATTACTTTATTTTTAATCTAGTCCTGTTGTACACTACTGAAGCCAGTGCAAAAATTACAGCTGAATTGCGGTCAAATCTTGCCATACATCCAATTATATTGGGGTCATCCTGCTACCAAGAACACACCCAGGGAATTATGTGACGCTTACTGATATCAGAGATGCTGCAGAACACCAGTTAAAGCATTTGTCGTCATCACTTCAACGCAATGGAACAGCAAACCAATACTTACAGCATCAGTTTCGCGTGCCAGCTCAAACAGAAGAGCGAGTGTTTCTCCAGCAGCTATTCTCATGTTGACATCATCACAAGACAGCATACTTGGGAGTTTATGCAAGTGCCTAAGGAATTAGTCATATGTCATTAACATGCTGTTGACATTGCTTCACTGCATATAGAAAAGAATTACAAATGTAGTTTTCCAGCAAGATGCTCACATTTCAATTTTCTTCTTCACTTCATTCATTGGACAAATGGTCAACAACAGCGTCCATGCTAAGAGCGCACTGATGTGAAGCACAGTACTGGGTGTACTTGATACCCCGTTCGTGTCTCTATCACGTGGATAAGCTTTTGTGAAGATGTTCTCTAGGCATTCCATAGTAGAGTACAGCTCCTGAAGAGAAGAAAAAGAAGAACATGGAAGTTGCTGAAGACTTGCACGGTTTTCTTAAATTGACAATAATAAAAAGTATTTCTTATCCTTACCGTAATGTCATCGGTGACAATGAAACAGCAAATCCCTAAGCAGGTTGCACACTAGACAAAAAAAAAAAAACAATTGTCAGTATTTGATGGTGATGTCACTTGACAAAACGCTTAAATCTGACATTTGGAACTTCGCGGAATAGAAGTCTTTATAACCCCAGCTGCTAGGGCATTAATCTCAATAGTTTAACCCAGCTACTCCATAACATTTAGACCTAAGTTTCTCTCTTCCCTCAGGATACAACATACGCCACTCAAGCTTTCATTTTCTTTCTGTACAACATACAAAGTCCTTCCAAAGCAGTGTACATAGCACTCCTTTCACCCAATTATATTAAATCCCACTGGAATCCACTGGCAAAAATTACGCCATTACTACTGATCTGTATAAAATATTTACAGCTGTGGGAAATCTTTCTGCCTCTGTGCCCACTTTTCCAGTTAAATAGTGTGAAAACACCAGCTTCAACAGCCTGTCCTGGAACAGTTCAGCTTTTAATTGCAAGGACCAACAAGACCCTTCCCTACTGCCTGTATTCTTACAAAAAAGAGATTTTATTTTCAAATGCAACATTTGCACTAACCACACAGCATCCTGAACTAAACTTGAACTTACATGCTAGAACAAGCTTTAACAACTTTGGTTTGTAGAAGCGACTTCTATTGAAATACTACTACTGTACTTTTTGTGCTAGCAGTACCTATTTTAATGCAGCTAAAGTACACTAGGAAAAGTAATAATAAAGACAATGATAAGTTAAGAGAAATCAGTTAAAACTCTGACGTTCTGCAAGAGGTTAATGTCAAGAGCTTTGGACTACCTTCAGTTATACCTCAGTTAATACTTTGGGTAGAGCTTTTTAAGATAGTGAAAACTGCTATGCTTCACTCAGATCTTAACATTAGCTGTTTACACTAGTGCAGTAACCTTTAGTTCTGGATTACACAACAGTGAGATTGTTTTAATTTGCCCTATGCCCCTGACTAGCAAGCAAAATATATGAACCTTATAAACACTTACAGCCTGCCTGGCTTGGACACTAGCTGTTCCATCAGAGACGATCTTCTTCAGAACTGGACCAAGGGTCTTAAAAATCTCTTCACTTTCAATTCCCGACCCCATCTGCACGCAGAGAAGACATGCAAGTCCAGCAGCTGCACACAGTTCCTCACTCTTTCCTAGACATTAAAATACTAAGATGAGTGATCTCCTTGTACACTCCTGCCTGCCTTTAAAGATACTTGTTCAAAAACCTTTAAGTAGGAATTCAGAAATGCATGGACAGTATTGTTTCCGTTAATTTTCTAGGTCAGTTAAAATAAGACATCTAAAAAAAATTAGTTAACAGAACTAAAATTAAATGCTCTATAAAGTACTAGATAAGCCTTAGAGATAACTTCTTTAAAACAAGATTTCACCACCAGTGCTGCTTTCTAACAGTAACCACACTAATTACCTTTCTTTATGCAGCGTTCAATGCTATCAGTTAGTGTCATTCTCCTTTCCATTATAAATTCATATAATATTTTAGAAGAAAAAGCACTTTTCAGACTTTCAAGAGCTGCTTGTCTTGTTTTGGCACTGTTGGAAGAAAAAAAGATCTCCTTTGAAATCAACAGCAGTTAAAGCTCAGCCTTTGACTTTATGGCAGCCTCCACCTGCATATCCCCACTCAAGAGCAATCTACAGTCATACTGTTAAGTTCAAAGCATTACAAATTACCCTCTTCCCTTAAGAAAAATTTGGGTTGGAAATGCATTTTGCAACAGTAAACCAGGCTACTTCGAACTATTAGCAAAGAATTTGATTCTCACTTATTTAAGCACTCAGGAGAAAATTCTCTTCAGATCCTAAAGAAACACAAGTCCTCTCTAGCATGAAATAATCATAATTTCAATAAGCATCCAAATAAGTTCCCTTACTCTATCAGTAAGCCAGCAAGATATGAGTTCATTTCTTCAAGGCACATCATACCTTTTGTCCAATGTAAGATCAATGAATCCCTTCAATTTGTATTCTAAGTCTTCTTGGGTGGCTTCTTCATCAACTTCAGGCCCTAAACCATAACAAATAGTTTAGTCCTGCTAATACACATTAGCAGTCACATCTACCAATACTAGAACTATCAGAAAGTATTAATAAGAAAGTAGATCACCACAGACAACAGCAACAGAATTTTTCAGCATTACAACTATATTCAACATCTCTCCTAGAAATACCTTCATGAAAAACAATCTGTTGATACATGTATGCTGTTTCTATACCTGTTTGGTCCATGCACTAAGAATGAACGTACAAGCTAATTAGGTCTCACTTAGGTTTTGCACAACTGAAAAACCAGTACCCAATCAAGTCAGTAGTGAATTTTCATTCTGTCCACCCCTGCAATACAGTGGAACATCACTGTTGATGCACTGAGCTCATCAACAGCCTCTCTTCCTGTCCAAGGCTCCCAGCCTTATCCCACTGTAGCAGCAGTAGGCCTTGAGCTCCACCCTCCCAACAGTGTTATTAGCAAGAGCCCAGGAAGAGGTGGCAGATGAGACAAGTTACTGCTTCCATAGAAGAGTCTTCTACAGTACAAATCGTGTTCAAAACACAAGGCAATTCACTTCACGTCAAACTCTTCCACAACCCTTATCACCTCAACTAAGTTATAAAAATTCAATGCCTTGTAATACACCCTAGGAATTGTGGGGTTTTTCCCCTCTAAAAATTGTAATTTGTAATTCCAACCGAAAGAAGCTTACCAGTTTTACAGGAGGTTCATGAAATGTGGAGCGTACCAGTAACTTTCTCCACTAGATGAGTAATCATACAGTATATAACAGAATGGCATTATATTGCTACTGCTACTTACAGTCTAGTATTCATACAGGAGAAACAGACAAAAATTAAATAACGTACCATCCTCTGTGAAGCTAGCAGGATCACTGAAGCCACTGCAGTGGCTCATAGTTTCAATTGAAGCATCTTCATCACTAAAAGGCTGCACATTTCTGGGCTGACCACCTGAAAGAAAGATGAATACAAGTTTAGTCATTTTCACATGGAAAAAGATCTGAATACTAAAAGTAGAACCCCTGAGCACATGTGCAAAC